AAGCCCGTCAATCTTTCCAATGCTTTTCGTTGTCTCGCTGCCGACTCCGTCACCAATTAGTGAGTCCTTCAGAGGTTGGCGGTTGCTCAAGAGACACAAACCTGACAGACACGCAGTTGTATGCCAAAGGCCTTCAATCTGCTTGATTCCATTGACTTTGCCGATGACTACAACCGCCAGGCGCGTGTCATCTCCCACATTGCCGCGTGGCACCGCCATATTCCCGTCATCATTCCCATATTCATGCGGATGCCGAGATGGCTTGTCGCAGCTACCTCAACGGAAGGTGGGGTGATGGCCTTCGACTTCCAGACAGTATGATCTTGTCCGAGTCTGGTTCTCAGCTGTGGCTGACCATATGTAGGATCTGGCACGACAGGCCGCGGACGCCGTCCATGCAGAAAAGCGAAGTGACAAGTCGGTTCTGGACGGCATTATCAACTCGGATGCCATTCCAGAGAGCGACAAGACTGTGGATAGGATCACTCAAGAGGCCCGGACATTGGTTGGGGCCGGTAGTGAGACTACAGGAAATGCTCTGGAGACCATTACATTCCATATCCTCGCCAACCCGGACAAGCTTCGGCGACTCAAGGAGGAGTTAGCCAGCGCAGTAGAGGCATCCAAGGACAAGCGAGACACTTTGACGGGTTACAGCACGCTGCAACGCCTACCTTACCTCACCGCTGTGATTAATGAAGGGCTGCGAATTGCATGCAGTGTGTCCGGCCGACTTGCAAGGGTCAATCACCGCCAGGCATATACCTACGGATCGTACGTGTTGCCTCCCGGGACAGTCATCAGCATGGCAATTCGAAGCAATCACACGTTTGAGCAAGTGTATCCCGAACCATTGTCCTTCAAACCCGAACGGTGGCTGGTGGATGGCGAAGAGCTGAAGAGACTGGAGAAGTACTTTGTCCCCTTTGGGCGAGGGGGCAGGAGTTGCATTGGCAAGGAGCTTGCCATCATGAACCTTTATCTGACCATTGCGAGTTTCTTTCATGAGTTCGATGCCGAGCTTTTTGAGACGACGAGGAAGGACATTGAGATTGAGCACGATTATTTTTCTCCATTTCCTGCAGTGGATTCGAAGGGTTTGAGGGTTATGCTCAAGTAGCTTGCTTGCTATTGGGGCCTAGATAGTGGCAGCATGCTGGCGAGCTTCTTTGCGAACGACTTGTCTTGTCTTTTGGGAGCGGTGAAGCCTGATCAGGGCGATACATATAGCTTGCCTCGGTGATATTCCACGTATCATCGACAAGAAGACGATTCTATGGGTCTAGAAAGGTTCATGATGTGAGCGTGACAAGGAGAATAGAACCATGTTGAGACTACTCTTGCAGGATAAATAGTGAAGAGCGTTTCGGTCACGAGATACGAAGTACGATGAACATAGTTTTGTGCACCTGCACCCTGCATCCAGTGCCAGCTAATCAGCTTCTCTGTTATTATTCATGGTGCCGCGGAGCCCGACTAAGCGAATCCTCTCGTGCCTGTAAAGCTCTCAGGCTTCCCTTTATAACGAAAATGAATTTCATCCTTGGACATCAGATGTTATAATGGTCGACATTTTGTGTATACGTGGCGTTGGTGGATAAAGATATTGTGCTGCCTGGCACACTGTTTTCTTCCTTTTAGAGATCCTCACCTTTGCCTCTCTCGCTTGCTCTCCCTCTCTCTTTTTCTCAGTGCTGTAACAAGAAACACCCTGTACTTTGACATTTGCTGAAACGAGCCATCCGTCCCATCGCATTACAACGCATCGCACCGCATCATGGGCATAGAACGCAACTTTGCAGGGGATCACAAGGCGCACCTGGGTTATTGGGGTCCTCCAACTTCTGTGGCCAAGTGAGTCTCTAGGGAAGAGAATTGACAATCGACTGACCGACTTCTCTCATCAGCTTTTGTGAAGAAGATTACGCTCTTACTCTATACGTCGCAGAATTCGTCAATAGCTTCACGAACCTTGCATACGGTGCGCACCCTGTTTTGAGAGGTCCCTGTGCTGTGGCTTCAGCTAATCAGTCGTCTTCACAGTATACTGGGCGTTTCGGACGCTGTTGCCCGGAGAGAGCTTGCTCACTCAGCCCTCCAACCTGGCCCTCTTTTTCGTCGGCGTCTTCTCTCTAGTCTTCCACCTGACTTTGAAGTATGAGACTCAGGTCTGCGACGACCTGTCCATGTTCTGGGTATGTGCAGCCCTCGTATATGAGCTGTACACCCTGGGATGGTCGAAACCGGCAAAGTTGACATTCGCTTTCATCTTGACGGCTGTTCTCGGTGTCATCAGTGCCTACCATTACGCGCTCCATCAGCTATGGTTGCACAACACGACCTTTATCGCCCTGGTCACCGCCATCTGGCCAAGAGTCCTGTATCTGATCCGCACCCGATTCAAGGGTGAGAAGAAGCAATACTGGACCAAGCAATTCCGCGTAGGAGGTCTGTGCTTTCTGATGGGATTCGTCGTGTGGGCCATTGACGGAGCGTATTGCGGCGCCCTGCGAGAAACCAGAAAACAGCTGGGGATTCCTCTCGCTTTTGTCCTGGAACTGCACGGATGGTGGCATATCCTCACAGCCCTCGGCGCAGGGTATTGTATCCGAGTGACCAAGGTCCTTACCCAGGACCACGCGTCTGCGTAAGGATCACGGGCCATATGCAAGGCACACCGAAAACTACCCGGCACCCCGGCAGCTTATCAGCACGTCTACGTCAATGCCTCCTCCAGTAGCTATGAACTCATCCTTGACCCAAAAGTACCCTTCCGACCACTCAACTGCCTTAAAGCGATGGACAAAACCGCCCGATAGACGCTTCCGAGGGAACCCCGGCACCTGCACCCGCGCGATAGATCTAGGCGGTCCAGTGTTAAAACTGGGGAATGATATCAAGGGTATAATATCCACGTCAGAAGAAGTGCTCTTTTTCTTTTCTCAATGGCCACGGATCGTGTTTAACCGTATGATGTATTCAATTCGAGCAACTATTTGCGACCCATACAGAGGAAGAGCTTTTGTCCCATGGCCACAAGCTCTGTGGGTAATGTTGCGTATGAACCCCGCCTCGCGCCGCCGCCTAACGTCACTTTGGTCTACAAAAACCTGTAAGATGATAGATCTTTGTTGACTTATTCGGCGTGCCAACTCGGCGATCGTCGTCAAGGCGGTTAAGAGTAACACACACCACAACAACTCGACATTTCAGCCTCCTTGTCCAAATCTTCGTCTCGACGTGAAACGATTTTTGTGTGCCATTGCTTTCCCCACCATGTCGTTGATATCTTCTCGAGCCCATCCAGTGGCATTCCGCAACTTCACATCCGGCGCAGGCTCGATATCAAGATACTATAGCAAGTCTCGACGGGGCCTGGCGCCACCTGCTTGTCAGCAAAAGTGCATGTTTTCGCAAAGTCGCTCTGCCTATGCAAATACCAACTCTGCTTCTGTACCACCTAAACAGGCCGCGAAAAAGACGGGCGCCGCCCAGACTCCGTCGATCAAAGAGAAACTACCGGATCCCGACCGAACGCCTTTTCGCTTTCGAGAGTTTGACCTCGAAGGCAAAGTGTTTGTGGTCACGGGCGGGGCGCGGGGACTGGGGTTGGTCTTGTCGGAAGCTCTGATCGAAGCAGGAGGACAAGGTCAGTATACATACTCCACATTATAGAGATTCGCTGTTGTTGACATTGTCTGGCTAACTGGCTGACTGGGTGTGAACTAGTATATTGCCTGGACCGACTGCCCGAGCCGGACAAGGAGTTTTTCACGGTCCAAGAACGTCTGGGCCCCAAGTACGGGGGATCGCTGAGGTACGACAAAGTGGACGTGCGCGAGGCGGGCAATCTCGACCGGGTCATCGAGGAGATCGCGACGCACCACAAGCGACTCGACGGCCTGATCGCGGCCGCGGGCGTGCAGAACGTGACGCCGGCGCTCGACTGCACGCCCGAGATGATCGAGGAGATGATGAACATCAACTACAAGGGCGTCTTCTGCTCGGCCGTCAGCTGCGCGCGGCAGATGATCAGGCACGACTGCAGCGGCTCCATCCTGCTCGTCGCGTCCATGAGCGGCATGGTCGCCAACAAGGGCTTCACCTCGGCCGTCTACAACTCCTCCAAAGGCTCGGTCTGCCAGCTGGCGCGGTCTCTGGCCATGGAATGGGGGAAGATTGTGAACGGCAAGCCCATCCGGGTCAATGCCTTGTGTCCTGGTACGTGGTCTAGTAATTCATTTTAGTCCCTTCTTTCCACAATCTAATCCCCTTGGACGTTTCGCAGGAAATATCATGACCCCGATGGTTGAGAAGAACTTTGAAGATGATCCCAAGTTGAAGCAGCTGTGGGAGAAGGAGAACATGGTAAGGAAGGACGGCCGCTTTTCTCTGTTCTACTCCTCCCTCCCGACTCAATTTTACTAACCATTTTTGATGATTCCAAGTTGGGACGGATATCCACTCCCGCGGAATATCGAGGCGCTGCCTTGTTCTGTCTGAGCGATGCCAGTTCCTTTATGACCGGCTCGAATGTGAGTTTGACAAAGATGATCCGCGGCAATGAGAAGATTCTGTTTCTTTGCCGGCCGACTGACTGACTGACTGCCTTCCTTTATAGCTTGTTATTGACGGGGGTTACACCGCGTGGTAAAGCACTGCTTTTAACCCGGTGAACGGGTTGTATGTTACGGTTATGTGTGTATGAATGCGAGGTGAAAGGTTGATTGTAACAACACCACCTGGTAGGGAAATGGTCGAATTCTAATGGGCATGATATGCGTGTCATCTGCATGCTTTATACCGTACTGTGGATATGTATCACAAGAGCTCGAGACTGTGTCGTGCCGTGTATATCTAGATATATTTGGAGAGTGGTTGATACAATATGACATATCAATTGATAGGAGCCACGCCCTTCTTTCCCATTCTTCAGCGAGCAAAAGCTCAGAAAGTCCATGTGAAAGTAGGGGTTTCTCCACCCCTTAATGACTGACCGACTATATCTTCGATTCCGCCAGGGGCAGGATTCGAAAGTTGACTCTGGGAAAATGCAATCTCAGTCGCCCCTCGCCTACCTTGGGGGTACTCGCAATCACGACCTCATTGACACCGATCGAGACCAACTCGCCCTTGTCGTGGTGCGTGAAGCCCGAGTCGACGGGGAAGACCTCGACCAACTGCCCCTTTTTTAATTTCAGCGGGTCGAGCGGGTCGACGGTGCCTTCGGGCTCGAAGAAGTCCGAGGTCAGGATGAGGTCGATGGCCTCGTCGCTGGACACGGCTGCGGGCACGCTGGGGCGGGACTTGTCGGCGATGACCTTGCGGAAGCGGTCGACGTAGGCAAACGTCTTGGGGAACAGGGTCGGGTTGATGACGTCCTTCTCCAGGCACTCGTACATGCGCATCTTCTCCTGAAGGGTCCAGTCGAAGGTCCAGATGGCGTGGATGTCGGCGAGGGTGGGCTCGGGCGTGTCGAGGAGGAACGCGCGCCCGTCGGCCAGCAGCTCCGTCTCCATCAGGGTGAAGTACATGCGCGCGTGGGCCAGGGCCTCGGGGCGACCCTGCCTCATCGTCTCCCTGTCAAACTTGCGCCCGGACATGGCGGCGCGGTCCTTGAGCCACTCCTCGTCCAACATCACGTCCGACGTCGGCGGGATCAACCCGGCCGTGCGGCCAAAGGGACCTGCATCGATGGCCCACGTCTCAAACAGGTGGTCCAGCCCCCTCTCAAAGGGCGTCTTGCCCCCGATGCGCGACGCCGGGAACAACGCCTCGAGCTTGTCGAGGATGACGCGCGTGTCGCAGTAGATGTCGCGGTTGATGGCGAGGATGGGGATGCGGCGGTACTGGATCCCCAGCTTTTCCAGCACGGGACGCGGGAGCCGGTTGAGCACGATGCACTGGAAGTAATCCAGGCGGCATAATGTCATGTACCAATCCACTTTCCTCCCAAAGACTGAGATGTCATAGGTGAAGAGGATGATACGTGGTGGTGGTGCCATGGAGTGGAGGCCCAAAAGGGCTTTGGTGTTTGAGAGTTGATCACGTTGTTTTCCTGGGCCGCAGTTTCACACTCTCTCACAATTCCTCCCTCACTTTCTCTTGATCCGTTCTCTTTTGTTGGTCTGTCAATCTTGTCACCTTGACAACATGTCTACCCCCTCTCTGGCATCCCTCAGCCGACGTATGAAAACCGCTAACCCACCGAATGCCACCGTTGAAACCCCCTCTCTGACCACTACGGATCATCTCATTAGTGGGACTTTGGTGACTGTCCTTCTGTATACCTGGAACAAATCAGCAGATTTTGCCCCGCATTTCCCACATTGTCCCGAGGACCAGACTTCGGATAGCCTGCCAGGGCATATCATGAACAAAAACACATGGCCATACAGTCAGTTTTGGACGAGTCAGGGTCATCACGTCGCATCCACTCACCCCCGCAGAAGAATATGCGGAGCGAGGGGGATCGAGGACAGGGAACCTGACACTCGTCTGGTCAAGGGACTTGACTCGAGTGCGGTGCACGCCTTTTCTGCGCATCGAATGAGATCCAAGAGAGGGCGCTGTGAGTAACAAAGCAAAGCACCGAGGCTCGAAAGACCCGTTCTTTTCATACATAAGAAAACGGGAGGAGGTAGGTAGGTCTCGAAGGAAGTTCCCGCTTTTCAAGAGGTATCAAGTATATCAATATCAGAGGGAGCCGTGCTCGTCTGTGTACATCTATTCATCAAATCTCCAGTTGTGAACTGCTTCCTCCCTTTCTATATCAGTTCACTTCCAAACCCCTCCTACAAATAAATACACACAACCTCTTGCCAAAGCCATGGCCGACCAGGAACTGAAATGGAAGATTCCTGAGAAGAGAGAGTTCCTCGGCGGTGACCTGGTCGCTCAGAGCCTCGCTCAACTGGGCGTCGAGGTCTCGTTCGGTCTGCACGGAGGCCATCTTGACGCCTTCTTGATCGGCTGTCAATTGGCCGGCATCAGACTCATTGACAGTCGACATGAGACCACGGCCGTCCAGGCCGCAGAGGGATATGCTAAACTCTCGGGCAAAGTGGGATGTTGCTTTGTGACGGCCAACAGCGGGTATGTTTTTCTGCCAAACATCGGACCATGTATATGGGATGAAGAAGATGTCTGGGATATAGATCCTTCACGGGAGAAAGAAACCACATGTGCTGACCATTTTCGCTCCTTCTCTGCAGTTTCTCCAATGCTCTCCCGGGTCTCGCCACAGCGTTTGCTGACCGCTCGCCAATCTTCATGGTCACGTCGTCGCCACCGCTGCGCGAGGCTGAGACGAACTCCCTCCAGGGATTCCACGACCAGGTGGTCCTGGCCAAGCCACTGACCAAGTTCGCGCACCGGGTCACCACGGTGGAAGAGATCCCGCGCATCGTCAGCTACGCGTACAAGACGGCCACGTCGGGGATCCCGGGTCCTGTGGTTATCGACTTCCCCATCGACATCCTCTTCCACCCGCCGAGGATGAACGCGCTGTCCTATGGCTCCGTTACGCGCCCGACGGCGGTGTCGCCGGCCCCAGACCCGGCCGCTGTCGACGAACTCATCGCCCTCTGGAAGGCCGCGAGCCGGCCCGCCATCGTCGTGGGCACGGGCGCCGCGCGCACCACGAACCGCGACTCTCCCAAGACCAGCCCGCTGCTCCAGCTGGCCGAAGCCACCAACACACCCGTCTTCTACTCGCAAAAGTACACCCCGTCCATCCCCTTCGACCACCGGCTCCGCGGCGGCAGTGCCAGCGTGCTAGCCGGTGTGCGCTTTGCCAAGCAGCAGCAGGCAGACTTTGTACTGCTACTAGGCGCACGCACGGGGTTCCTGCTCGGCGGGCGGTCGGGCGCCATCGTCCCCAACTCGGACTGTAAATTGGTGCAGGTCGACCTGGACGGTGGGGAGATTGGCAAGTCGCACGCCGTGGACCTGGGGATCGTGGCCGACGCACCCAAGTTCATCAGCGCGGTGCTGGACAAGCTCCAACAAAACCCGCTGGAGCAGAAGCACGAGTCCTGGATAGAAGCGATCCACGCCGTCAAGACCATGACGCGGTACGCCGGCGACGCGGTCGTGCGGCCGGACGGCCGGCTGCACCCCTACTTTGCCATGCAGACCATCATGGAGTCGCTGCCGCCGGACGCGATCGTCATCATGGACGGCGGCGAGGCGGGCGTATGGGCCATGGACCACCTGGAGCGGGCGCGACCGGCCACGGGCATCGTGGCGACGGGGTACCTGGGCTTCCTGGGCAACGGGTGGGGGTACTCTCTCGGGGCGGCGCTGGCGTGCCCGGACCGGCTGGTGGTCAACGTGCACGGCGACGGCAGCGCCGGGTTCCACATCCAGGAGCTCGACACGTACGCACGCCACGACCTCAACGTCCTCACCGTCGTCTTCAACAACTTCTTCTGGGGCATGTCCGTCGCGGGCCAGGACCTGCTGTACTCGGACGCGGACCCCACGCGCGCCGTCTCCAGTCTCTCCCCGAGCTGCCGCTACGATCTCGTCGCCCAGGGCTTCAACTGCCGCGGCGCCATTGCGCAGGCCTCTCTCGACGAGATCCGCGACGCCATCAAGACCCTCGCAGCCCCTGTCACCACTGGCGCCAGTGGCGAGAAGCAATCCCGTGCCGGCCTCCTCAACTGCATCGTCTCGCGCGACCCCATCACCGAAGTCACAAAGGGCATGGTCGGCAAGACCGACGACAAGAACTGGATCGTCGTGCCGTACTACGACAACGTTCCCAAACCGTTTTACCGCGAGGAGGGGGACAAGAATGGCGTTGCCAACGGACACTAAAAGGAGCGCAGATTTCTTGAGTTGGTCTAAGATGAGGTCGGAGGGGGGGAGGAAGAAGAACAGAAAAGAAGAAACCTTCATCGCTGCCCACCAGCAACGGCAATACGCAATACTGGAGAAACAGGAAACCCCCTGGAAGAAAGAAGGGAAAAGGGTGTCTATCATGCATGACGGATATCCGGAAACGAACGATCCTGTGTGAATTTATAGTTATAGTTATACTTATAGTTATAGTTGGTGCATGATACGGACGGACAAAGTTTTATCGGCTGATACGAGGCTTGAGCGAGGACGAGGATGAACATACGACGAGTACAGACGAGGCTGAGGCTTGAAAAGGGGGAAGATTTCGAGAGAGACGAGACGAGAGGAGACTTTTTGGGGATGCAAATATCGAGTATATCTCTAGGGATCCTCCCTGTGCAGTACGAAAGTTGTACAAGAATACCATCTTCCAGGCTGGTCGAAATGATCTTGAGACATGGATCTCTTTTCCAACATTCCTTTGCCCTTGACGGTCGTAGGTTGCGTTATATATACACCTGGGCATCAACCCGAAGAGGAAAGATCCATCGCCTCTAGACACCATGCAGCCTGCAATGCCTGAGATGCCCATCACTGAATGTTCTAATACACATGCCAGAAGTTTGTGATTGGGAATAACGTGTGCGCCTGCCCTTGGGTTTTGTACATTCAGCTGAGATGTCGCTTTACCGTTTCAAGACTTGTGAGATCTTTCGGTTTTCTAGCTTGCTCGAGCACATCACCGTCCAATGTAGAGCAGAATCAGACCGTGTCGCAGTGTAACAACAAAAGGCATGCCAGAACGTACTCGCTTTTGGTGGAGCGCAAGTGTGGCAGATTTTGCATGATTTCACCCGAAGTGTGTCCCGTAATGTCCGCGTGAGTGTCATTTCTTTGGTGTCGATGGTGAACCAGGATTAGGCACTTGTCTACTCGCAACGGCGTTTCGGTACGACCGCTGGATCTCGAGATCTTGCCTTCGTTGTGCCTCGTACCGTGCTGCCGCTTCTTTTTGTTTTTCAAGCTGTTTTTCTTTCATTTTCTTCTCCATTTGCTCTTTGGAAGAACCAGACACATTCTCCCACGCTTTCTTCCCCATGGATTTCACTGAATCGACCCCTTTGTCGATGATACTGCGATCCGCCGCTGGAGTTGGCTCAGGAGTCGTTTCAGGAGTCGCAGTGGTGGTTCGAGCAGTGGTCTCGATTACCGTTGGCTGGACGTTCATCCGTGAATATGGGGTGGTGCTACTTGACTTGGAATTGTGGTGCGGCAGCGGGGTTAATTTTAGCAGACGTCTGAAAGATTTATTCTGCAGGGCGCTGACTTGTAGCTGAGTGAAAAAGCTGTTCACTAAGAAATAGATCTGAACGGAGGCTGGCTGAAATGCAAGGAAGCCTCCCGTGATGAGTGGAATAACATTTCGGACCACACCCATGCCGGGGAGCTGAGACTGTCCACCCTGCGATCTTTGAGTGGTTGCTAGGTTGACCCATGTAAGTGCTGCGGTGGCTATAGGCAAGATATAGGTCGGGTCAGTAACAGCTATGTTACTTAACCACAGAAAGTGTTCAGCTTCGAAGGCGGGCACAGGTAGATGTGAGCAGTTTCTGAGAAGATTCCATGCTCCGTAACCAAGCGGGATTTGAAATAGGATGGGCCGGAACATCTTTATGAAAGAGAGTTTGGCGTCTTTCCTGAGCTCTCGCATTTGCATCTGTGCCTCGAGGACCGCTGTGCGATCATGATTTGCCAAAGCCTCTTGACTCCTTGCTTGTATTTGTCTTATGAGAGGACTTATTTCTTGGAATTTGGCAGTCATGTCGGACGCTGAGATCGCAAACGGAAGAATGGACCCACGGATGAGCAGCACAAGGGCCAGTATTGATGCTGTCCAGGACAGTCCACCGGTCACATGTATATGTTCGAGACAAAACTGCATGAGAGCAGTCGGACCCGTGCCGAAATCAAGACCACAGACATCTTTCAAGTATCCAATGCCCTCTGGAACACTGGCCAGATCTGGTGTGTCACTGGCTGCTGCTGCCGCTGCTGCGGATGTACTTTCTTGCGATTGTAGAATCGAATTTTCGATGCTTTGAAGAGCATTCGATTCGCCGGTGGAGGTAATTGTCGGGTCGGCGGAATCTGAGGTGGAGTGCGAGGCCTTGACTGTGCGTGTCGATTCAATTGTCGGGGTGGAGGAGGGCGACGATGCCTGCGCAGTAGCCTCGACTGCTGGTGCAGCTTCGCTGGAGGTCTTGCTGGAGCCCCAGCCAAAGAGGGAAAGGGATCGAACTTGCTGCGCCGAGTTCAATTGGCTTGAGTATGTGCCTGGTCTTCGTATTGACCTAGAGTTCAAGGTATAATGGGAGAACTGCCACAGTTAGTGTATATGTCGAGCGAGAAGTCGCGGCAGCAGCAACATACATATCGCCCGCTTCCGGCACCAACGACCGCCCTCCTCTGAACTCCACGGATTCCTCGACCTGACCACCTCAACCCCATGGAAATTGACATACTGGACACGGTGCGCTGACGGAAAATGTCGCGCGTGGGAGTATCATGTCACAGCTTCAAGATGGGAATGGACAGCATAAAAAGTTCCAGCCGATCATTCGAGGGCAAGTGCAGCGAATTTCCTCCGCACTAAAGCAGCTAGCGAGGTACAAGGCCGTGCAAGGGCCAAGAGTGTTTACTGTCTACAGAGTACCTACCAAGTACTTGGTACACGGGAGATCGACCTCGGATATTGCCAAGTCATGTAGAAGTTGCTTTGAAGCCATGGTTCTAATTCTATTCTCTCAAGCACAAGGAGGGTTTGGCCATGCTGACCGCCATACTCATGTTCGTGCTCTCGTACTGAAGTGAGCCCCCTATGGCCCTTAGTTTTTTTTTTTGAAATTCCCGCTCAATCCGTTCCTGAAAGCCAACTTCCAGGTCACAACGCCAACGTGATGCTACGGTCACAATTCAGAGGTATCGCTGAACCACGGCCCCTCCTCTCTTGAACTCTGCCATCTCCCCAAGAACCTGGGACTTGTCTTTGAGATCTGTCGTGGGGAAGGTGGTCTGCAGAACAAATTCCCGACCACCTGGCTCGGCTCGTTGAACGAAATCATACACGTCTCCAATCGTCTGCGTTGTGTTGAAGCGCGTGGTCAGTCTGGTTCCGGAGCCAAGACTAATTCTCAGCGTGACGATTGGCTTCGACTCATCCACTTCGGTTGTCGGAGGTGCTGCAGAGGGTGCTGCAGATGCTGGCGCTGTAGTTTCTGAAGTGAAGCTCCCAGGCATCGAAGGCACTCCAGGGGTTGGGCTTCCGAGACGTTGGCCTGACCCTTCAAATGGTCTGTACTTCTTCTTGGGCTTGACGTATTTTTCCTCATGTTGCTTGATCTCCACATCCACTTCCTGACCAGGCTGGACATTCATGATGTTCAGCGGTGCCCGCCCTTGTCGAATCGAGTTTAGAATCTCTGCATTTCTGGGATCATCAAATCGGTACAAGTCCCCGTCGTCTATACTGAACCCATCCTGCCAAAAATGCAGTACTCGTTCGACTCTCTCTGCTCTGCCACGAGGTTGATGTGCAGCGGGGATCTCACGCGAGGGTGCGTCATCGCCCCCCAAGGTGCGCGCTGAACCTGTAAAGAATGACTTCTTGGGAGCAGCTTCTTTTGGTGGAGGACCTCGCTTCTGAGCCTTTTCCAAGATTCTCTTCCTCAGGTCGTCCGGATTCTGGACTGCCAAGCCTGACTTTTCGCCTCCAGCAAACAGGTCTTGTTTCTCGTCGTCGTCCGAGTCGTCACCGTTCGCACCGCTTGAAGAGAAGTCGCCCAGAGTGGCAAACTTCTTTTGTGAGGAGGGATTGTTTTTGGGCTGAGAAGAGCTCGAGGCGGAGGAGGCGGCGGCAGGCGTGGGCTCGGACTCTGAAGGACCCTCCCCTAGTCTCCGACCTGCGCCATACGTAGGATGTGGAGGTTGAGATTGGGTCTGATGCGATGAATCTGGATCCTCTTCATCGACGTAGTCTGAATCATCGGGATCATCGGGAATGTCGAAAGACTGGTCGTCATAAGTGGCATAGTAATTCGAAATGGCAGCCTCGAGATTCCAGTCGTTGGCGGCAAGGAACTGGTGAGCCTATGAAAGTCGTTAGCAATTGAAGTCACGCGCAACGCACATCGGCCATCTTACTCGTCGGGAGGTTGCTGTTCCCACAATCGCGATGAACTGTGCAATTAAGGAACTTTGTTCTGCAGGATCTGGATTCGCCATGCCTGTGGAGGACTTTTGAATGGTGCAATAGAATATGTTGGGACAAGGGGAGAGGTAGAAGTAAACCAGTCAAATGGAAACTGTGGTGAGAACTAATCGATAACTTGGTGTCGTCTTCAGCAAAGCAGCCGAAGAGTGACACTGGAGAGAATTAGAAGTGAATAGAATGAGGTGTAAAGTCGGCTTTACAAGGCACCAGGAGAAGGTAGTACGTCACACAAGAGGTCGCCTACAAGTACTAAAGGATAGTGATAGTTGCACCCCAAGCCCCCCTCAGCCCCAAGGCTCAGGCAACTCTTCGCCGAGAAACTTGCGACCTACTCGCCGGATCCCTAATTGGGCGGCTCTGGGCACCCATGGGCGCACCAGGCGCAGCTCATTTATTACTTAAGCAGCCTTGTCAGTGTCCTGATTTGTTGGGCTGTGAATCTCGTGCCTGGAATATCTTTGAAGCGACAACAATTGTACCGAGAGCTTCCACGCATTGCTTTGAAGCTGCTTGAAATCTACTCTTGTTGGGTTCCAGAGAGGGAAATTTACACGTACCTCCGATCCCTTTCAATTCTAATTCAATGTCGCTCCTTTGAGGAAGAATGAATAACCAACTGTGGCTTTCTTGACTTCTCTTCCAGACCTCTTCACCATCCATTCCGCATCTACCACGAACCATCCCATTTTTCCGTCATGGCTTCGCG